GGGGGGGGGAGGATGGACACGCGATTTCTTATTTGTTTGCTGTTTTGTAAGCGCCAGGCGCCACCCCGTGTGGGGGACTGGAACTAGATTAAAGTTGTGAGCACATGGAATTAATTTGTCGGGAGTGTGTTTTTTAAAACCAGGATTTAAAGAATTTCCCACGCCTAGGAATCTCCAAAAAGTAAGACGGGTCTTAGGTCTTAGGTGTTCGTTTATGAGGGTTTTAGTTTTTGTAACACCCCATGTTAAAGAGACAATTGCACTTTACCCTTAAGCTATATTCATAAGCATTTCTCAAGATTCTAATGAGTTTAATTTGTTTTAACCCTATAATTTCTGAAGCTGTCTACCATATGATTATGATTAAGAAGGGTGTAATGAAGTTTATGAGTTGATAATTTTATGCGAAAATAATAACAATTATAGCTGCACCTTTCCTTGATTCTTTACAGCTGACACCTTCCATCTTTTCTCCTGAAAAAAAAATGATCATTATAATTACCATTAAAAAAATGTCAAACAAACTTATCAATTTTATAATTTAAAGAAAAAGAGAAAGTATCTTTTCTGGCACGTAAGTGGTAACTTAAACACACTGTACTTAGTCATACGAGATAAAAATTTATCCTGGCAGTGGATAGTAAATTATCCAGTCTTCAAACAACTGGAACTTGTTAAATAGTTTTGGATATACATCATTTTTAATGTTGTTAATCTGCAAATTAATGCACATACATGCATTTCGTCTAGATGACTTTGTGACTTTGCAAAATTCAAATCAAATTATCCACTTAATTCTCTTTCCTTTTCTACCTATGAGATGTGTATTCTGCTTACTTACCAGTCACGATTAGGTGGTGTATTAGAAGAATTCAGCTCTAGTGTACAACAGCCATAAGGTGTCATGCCATCATTAGCAAAAAGGACATGTTCTTCCTGTATCCCTCTTTTAAGAATCCTACAAATTAAAAGTAATAAATAATAGAAAGTTATAATTATCTCTTTTGTTCTCTTGACAACAAATTTATGCACCAACACAGCAACAAGCCCAGTTGTGGAGGAATGAAGGGATACCCATTTAAGATCAATGACATTTTTTTCATTTTCCTCTTTTAAAGGCATTATATTTAAGTCTTTCTGGTAGAGATCTCAACTCTCACAAATATATTTTACCATAAAATGATAAAAATTATCTAGGGACACCAGTCAAAATAGTTAGAAGGCTGCCAGTGCTGGACTAAGCTAGCATCCCATTAAACAAATTACAAACAGTTGAGTTAATTACTTCGTGCAACAGAAAGTTGAATATGGCCCAGGGTTATCAACTCTGAAGTTTAATTTAGGTGAGGAAGATGCTGAACTAATTACAATGCCTCTCTTTACTGGGGAGATTTCATGGGTAATTTACTCAACTTTTCAGGGAGCAAACAGGTTGCCCAGCATGAAGTGGTCAATGCCATACAGTCATCCAGGAAGAAAAGAAATTGATACATATATCTTGTTAGAAGTTTGTTGTGTAATATTGCAGAGTATTTTTACGAGTTGTGCCATATTTTGACAAGCCAGTAGGAACCGTTTACAAGATACGTTTCCTTTCCAAATGAGTTTAAGATCTCTTATCTGGTGATCGACATCTTCAGTCAGGTCTAAACAATTGAAAAAGGTGAGGAGAGGGCTCTGAAAGACACAATCGAGAGTACAGAGAAATCCAAAAGTACTTTAGCCCTTTTCAAATCAACAGCACTGCGAGCAACAGTGGTAACTTCCAGTTTTGGCATGCACAGTTGACAAGAGCGAGCAGGTGGCGTTTCGTTTTGAACCACAACGTTTACGACCAAGTTCGTCAAGAAGTCAGTCAAAAAACATGGTGACAGAGTCATGCGGTTCCTTTCGAATCTCAACCTACGAGTGGTCTCGGTGGATATGAAGAGCTGAACTTTTATTGTCTACGCTTCCTAAAGACATAATTTGAAAATTAAAAGTGATTGAGACTTTATCTCCAGTGGCTAAACAATCCTAAACAATTGATTTATTGTCCCTTGCTGCAAAAAAAAAAAATTATTGTTTGTAATTAAGACAAAACTGAAAAGTCCGTTTTTTTGTTGAAGACTGCTTATTTACAATCAGGGTATATACCTGAAAACTGCTGATTAGAAACTTTGAATTCCCTTTAATAAAGTTACCGGTCACAAATTGTTTGACATCGTAGGTAGGCTAGTTTATTTTACACCAAAGAGTCGAAGGAGACAACTGAAAAAATCAAAGTCGAGGTATAATTATGATGCTTAAGCTAGCCATGTTTTTCTGTGAACACTTGGGTTTGGTTCTCTATGCATCTTGAATTGATTCCTTTATATTAAAGCTTTGAAAGTTTTTGAAGCATACATAGCAAAATTATCAAAAAAACATATTTTGGTTTTCGATGTACCTTTAAATTCTGGAATAACTAATGATAGCGGTGCATTCGCAATAATTTAGGAACCTATGATTATCCAACTTGACTGAGCCCACTGATAAGATATTTTTGCATGATAGACTGAGAAACGTACCTAAAAGATAACTCGATGAGTTTTAGAATCAATATATGCATTAAATTGCCCGGGGAAATAATTTTTACAAAGAGAACTCGTTATTTCTAATGTATTCCTTGACCTGTACAGGATGTCTTTACAATACGGGTATCAACAGGAAAGGACTTTGATTTTACCGCGTAAACCAGGAAAACAACATAAGGAAAGAATAAGAAAGATGGTAAGTTTTGAGCTTGGTAAAGAAATATAGAAAGATGTCTTTCTTCTGAATAACGAGCGTGAGATAAAGAAAAAATTCTGAGTCTCCATGAGGAATCGAAACTGACAGACCATCGGATTCCGCGTTCCGATGTTCTACCGACTGAGCCACTGAGACTCTCTGGTGAGCACACAGGCAGCCCAAGCTCACTACTACAAAAGCGGACGTGACTCTTACAGTGTTGCACATCGTTTTATATTTATAAAGGTTTGTATGGGATGTCATCGGTTTGCCTTAAGGCGGGGGTAAACCTGAAAAAATGCCCATTTTTCAACCATTTTTCATGGCTAGGATTTAATTGAAAGCTTAGGAAAACTATATATCTCTGGAAAGCTTATGACTTCAAGATCATGAAAAAAATATTTTACACTCCACATGTCAATTGTAATACATACCACTCGTTTTATTGTGCCACCTGCTGGGTTCTACCAAGGGTTACTTAAGAAATGATAACTCCTGGAATTAATGAAAAAATTTTTTTTAGTTTCAATTCAAAGAATACATTTTGCTTATTGTTAAAAGTAGATGGATTTTTGATATGTTGAAACATTTCAAATGGTGATCGATTAAATTTGACATAGGAAATCTAAGTAGTGTTTCACTTCATAACTTTGAGTACATAAATCATGTGGAAAATTGCTCTGCTCATAACACAAAACTTATCAAGAGGAACAAATGCTGAACATTTCAGATCATTCGGATAAATTGTTCTCAAGATATCTTTTCTTGGAGACAAAATTATTGCGTAGTGAGAAAATAGCAATCACACTTAGTTTTTTAAGTTATGCAACCACTCTAGTGGCCCAAGTGTCTATATTTTGTCTGCAGGAGTGTCTAAAAGTAATTTAAATGACTCCTGGTTCATATATTACTCCTTCTGCTTCTTGAAGGGCTTCCGACTGATGAGTCCTCAGAAGTTGCTCCCCTTGATGCTCTCTCTTTTCCTTCTATGTAGCCTGTAAATCAGACTTCATCAATCGTTTACTGTCTTTTGCATTTGCTGCCTCTCTGGTGCATACACCACCAAGGATAGATAGCCTCTCCATAATTTTTAGCCTACTACTGTCTTTCATGCTACCGCATGGAAGACAACTCAGTCGTTAATGTCATATCATTTCCCTCACTAGGTCACACTACTGGATGTTGGAAGTGGACTGGATTCCTCAGAGGAATTGCACTGAAGGGAAAACTGTGACATCAGCCCTGCTCTAGCACTTTTATCCTCCTTAAGAGTTAAGTTTCCTAGAAAGACATTTATCAAGTAAAAATTTTAAGATAAATCAGGCAATTTTATCATAAATAGAGTAAAGACCTCAAGTCAGAAATATACATTCTGTGATTTTTCACCCCATAATTTTTTGTTTACAGTGTATATGCACAAAACCTAAAAATCTTTCTTGTACCTGATCCAAGATTTAATAGATAAATCAGTGAAATTCAGTAGGGAAAAACTGGAACCAAGTGCCGATATGGTATGGGAAATAAGTCATAATCGAGGACAGAGAATGACGTAGACTTGAAAAACAAATTTCTCACCTATCCACAGGCAACCCAAGTTCACTACTAAAAATCGGACGTGACTCTTACCGTGTTGCGCAACGTTTTATATTTATAAAGGTTTGTATGGGATGTTATCGGTTTGCCTTAAAAGAGCGAAAAAGATGTCTTGTTTTGAAATGAAATGGACTTACCTTATTGCCTTGTCGTTTTCTTTGTTGATTCCTAGCGTCTCAGGCCATTTTGAAGCGTTTTCGGCGAGTTAGCGCTATGTTGGTGTTCAACTGCTAGCGCTAACTCGCCGAAAACGCTTCAAAATGGCCCGAGACGCTAGGAATCAGCAAAGAAAACAACAAGGCAATAAGGTAAGTTTATTTAACTTCAAAACAAGACATTTTATTCTCTCTTTTAAGGCAAACCGATAACTTCCCACACAAACCTTTATAAATATTAAACGTCGCGCAACACGGTACGAGTCACGTCCGCTTTTCTAGTAGTGAGCTTGGGCTACCTGTGACCTATCTCACACACGTGCGCGTTTGAGACCGCCGTGGATAATTTTTTCACGTCTGTTTATATCCCTCGCTTTCCTTGGTATCAGAGCTGTCTGAAAGAAGCTCATCGGCATATTTCATTCTCTCTCTGGAGGAACCAACAGTTTCTTCAGAGTCCGAGTTGCAAAGTTTTTCCAATTATTGGAAAGCTGATTTTCATCCAGGGAAGTGCTGGGAGTTGAGTGGGCGATTTCGTTCTTCAAACTCATCTTCCTGTTTTCGTCTTCCAGAAAAATGTCTTTCTTTTCTTCCAGTAGACAGCTCTACTTCTCTCTTCAGCCATTTTCGATAACTTTTCCTTTGATTTACTGCTCTATGTACGTTGAATATAACATTCGACTGAAACCCGGACTAAAACTGCCTCTAATTCTATCCCATAATCGTTTTGTTCCAAAAAACTCTTCAAATAAGACTAAATGAACTGTATCTCGTTAGCTCCTGCCCGCTTGGCTTGGTTGCCAGAACACCAAGGCATAAACAACTGATAAATGTTAAAAAAATGCTATTCTCGTTACCATGGTAACCAAGCCATTAGCCATCAGAATACATTTATTTTGAGCCTTAACATAGACATTCCTTGTTATAAGTTTACGATATTACGACTCTTCAATATTCTCCCATACATTTCTTTATATTCGAACAAACGACCAGACACGCCGCTCCTGTGGGCTCCCTGTGGACTAACTGCTAACTTCCTTTAGCAGTTAGTTAACTCGCCGAAAACGCTTCAAGATGGCCTGAGACGTTGGTAATCAACAAAGAAAACAACAAGGCAATAACGTAAGTCCATTTTATTTCAAAACAAGACATTTTTTTCTCTCTTTTAAGGCAAACCGATAACATCCCATACAAACCTTCATAAATAAAAAACGTTGCGCAACACTTTAAGTCACATCCGCTTTCAGTGGTGGTGAGCTTCGGCTGCCTGTGTTATAAGTGGCAGTCAACGATGAACTCAACTTATTCGATCTTAACAACAAGTTTCTCATTTCCTTTGATGTTGAAAGTCTTTTTACCAATATTCCGTTAAATGAAACTATCGATATTGCTGTTGATCTTATTTTCAAGCATGACCCTAAGTTTTCGATCAAAAAATCTGACCTCAAGAAGCTGTTTTCATTCGCTACAGCTGAGACTCATTTTCTTTTTAATGGGAAATTTTATGATCAAGTTGATGGGGTAGCGATGGGTTCTCCGTTAGCACCCATCCTAGCTAATCTTTTTCTTGGTTTCCACGAGGAAACATGGCTAAATAATTTTAACCATTCGACTCGCCTTCTACTTTATAGGCGTTATGTTGACGACACCTTCTGTGTCTTCCACAATGAACAGGATGCTATGTCATTTTTTGATTACATTAATTCACGGCACGTACCCCAACATAAAATTCACTTTGGGAAAAGAGAATGATGGTAAACTCTCCTTTCTTGACATATTTATCGACAACTCTACGAATTATTGTGTTTTTTCAGTTTTTCATAAAAAAAGCCTACACTGGTCTCCTAACAAATTTCTTTAGTTTTATTCCATCATGCTACAAAATTGGCCTTATCCGAACTCTTATTGACCGTATCTGCAAAATCAACAACACCTCTTCCGGCCTTCAAAACGATCTTAAGAAACTTTCCGACACTTTAAAACGTAATTCTTTTCCTTCGCATATTATTGAAAGAACTTTCAAGCGGTATCTTGACGGGTCCTCCTCTCAAAATAACCGGAACATTGATGACAATAATACACGTTACTTTAAACTCCCTTTTGTCGGCTATTATTCTAAAATAGCGAACCTAAAACTCCGAGAACTCACTAAGCGCTTTTGTAAATCGGACCTAAATATCAAACTAGTTTTCACTTCTTTTAAAATTAAAAACATGTTCGGTGTTAAAGATCGTACTCCTGATGCTCTAAAATCCATGGTAGTTTATCAGTTTTCTTGTGCGGGATGTAATTCCCGTTAAATTGGCGAAACTAGTCGCCACTTCTCTACTAGGATAAAGGAGCACACGGAAAGCGATAAAAACTCGCATATTTTTAAGCATTTCAACACATCTCCTTCTTGTAAGAACAAGTACTCCCTTTCTTGCTTTAGAATTCTGGATTCTGCTAACAGCTCAATTGATTTAAAACTCAAAGAAGCTTTTTATATAAATAAGATCAAACCTGAACTTAACAAACAATTACAGCATTATAACACTTTTCTAGCGTTTTATTTCACACCTTTGATGTTTGATGTCACGTTGTAATTAGTACCCGCTTTTGTATGACATCATACAGCTCACAACACCAACCTATCCATTATGCACTCTACCAACCCGAACCTCGAAGAGCAAGTCAATCAATTGGCAACGAGACCGACACCACCCCGTCGTGGAAACTGTGGTTGGTGCGGAGGCCTTAGACATCCCCGCAAGGACTGTCCAGCGACCAAACCAGGCACCTACTGCACCAACTGCTATATGACTGAGAACCACCTTGCCAAGGTCTGCAGATCCCCCAAAGACAAATTCAAGTTGGATTTTGAAAAGAAACAAAGAAAACAAACCAAGCGCCCTCCCCCTCGGCGCTCAGACACTGCTCATCACTTCTCTCAAGGGAACGATGCAACTGCAACGTATTTTGAAGATGATGATGATGATGACTACGTGGTCCACTCTTTCTCAGCTTTTTCTCTTTGTGACGACAAGGAGGATGACAAATACTTCACCTGGCTCCCAGTCTCCGTTAGCCCTGACAAGAACATAAAAGTGCTAATGCAAGTGGACTCTGCCGCATCCTGTACCACCTTGCCGTCATCAGTCTTCAGGAAGTTATCGGCGACTGCCCCGCTACGCCCCTCGCATGTCAAGATATTTCCTTACTCTGGAGAACCTATTCGCCCATTGGGCAAAGTAAGTCTAGCTTGCGAGGGCGTCTCCCACTTCGAAACACTAGAATTTCAAGTAATAGACTCAGCATACATCCCAGGCAAACCCGCTCTCATAAGTGGTAGAGACAGCAAGCGTCTCGGCCTACTGAGATTTCACAAATACAGAGTGTTCTCCTCACCAACGTCAGACGTCAAACTACCCCGCATCCATCTGGCCTCTTCAGATCAGACAACACCTCTCCAGTCAGCGGCCACAACCGACTTGCAACCAGGCCACCTCCAGCAGACCCAATTGGTTACATTATACAAGGATAGCTTTGAGGGTCTGGGAAATGTGGGTCAGACAGTCCATCTGACCTTGGATCCTAAAGTCATGCCCTGCCATGCAGGCATCCATCGAGTACCGGTGGCGAAACTCGAAAAAGTGAAAGCACAACTTGACGCCATGGTGAAATGTGGAAAACTCAAGAAGGTGGACCAACCCACAAACTCGTGTACTAACATGACGGTTAGAGAAAAGACCCGCCCCAATGGCACCACCAAAATAAGCTTATGCTTAGATCCCAGCCAAACGCTGAATAAAGCCATCATAATTCCGCGCTACCAGATTCCTACTGTACAGGAAATACTCCCACGCTTGTCAAGGAAGAAGCATAAGACGTTCTCCATATTCGATGCCCTCGATGGCTTCACTCAAGTTACGCTCACAGATGAGTCCAGTTTGCTCACCACCATGCACACCCCCTGGGGTCGATACTGTTGGCTCCGCCTCCCTTATGGCGTTAGTTGTACTCCAGAGGAATTCCAGTTGCGAATGCATGAGGCCCTTGAGGGTCTGCACGATGTGTATTGCATAGCTGATGATATCCTCGTCGTGGGCCAAGGTGACACAGTCGAGGAAGCAAACAGAAATCATGATCTCAATGTCCTTGCCCTAATGAAGCGCGCTCGGGACAAGAACCTGAAGTTCAACCCACAAAAAATTCAGTTTAAACTATCAAAGATCGCCTTTATGGGCCATGTGATATCCAACCTGGGAGTGACACCAGACCCCAACAAAGTCAAGGCCATTTCTGCTATGCCAGCCCCTACAGATAAGCAGGGAGTGATGCGATTTTGTGGCATGGTGAACTAATTGAACACTTTTTGCCCTAACTTGTCTCAAGTGATCAAGCCCCTGTTTGACCTTACAAAGCAGGATCGTGATTTCATCTTGTCAGACATACACCAGGAACGATTTGCCCAAGCAAAGCATCTCATGCCTCGCTTACTTTGCCAAAAACAAGCCAGTCACCCTCCAGGTGGATGCCTCACAAGGAGGGCTTGGGGGAGCCCTCCTCCAGCCTAATGATTCCGGAGACCTTCAACCAGTCGCTTACACATCTTGCACCCTCCGCCCCAATGAAGAACTCTGGGCTCAAATTGAAAAAGAATGCCTTGCTATAGTGTCGGCCTGTGACAAGTGGGACCTCTGGAGTTACGGCCGCGAGGTGAACGTCCACAGAGACCACCAGCCCTTAGAAACAATATTCAAGAAGCCTTTGCACTCAGCACCTCGCCGCCTCCAGAAAATGCTGATGCGGCTACAGCGGTACAAAATCAGAGTCACATACAAGAAAGGCACGTCACTCATGCTGGCGGACACTCTCTCGAGGGCCCCTCTCCCCACCATCAACGACTCAAAACAAACCAATTTTGAGATTTTCAGTCTTGACATCGACAGCGACATCAAAAACCCTAGGGTCACTTCCGAGACTCTGAAGGAAATCATAGCTGCAACTGAGAGTGACCCCACTCTCTGTCACTTGATCAGGGTCATAACCACAGGCTGGCCTTCAAGAAAATCGGAACTTACCCACAGCTTACACCCCTATTGGAACTTCAGGGAAGAACTAACCCATCAAGATGGGGTAATCTAAAAAGGAACGCAAGTACTTATCCCGCTGGCAAAAAGAAACGTGATCCTGCAAAAGGCTCACGCTGCCCACTTTGGAGCTGAATCAAACATCCGTCTCTGTAAGGACACTGTCTTCTGGCCAGGCATGAAGTCTGATATCCGCGAAATGCCGTTCATGTGGGAAATGCGCACAGTTTCCATTACAGAATGCCAAGGAACCCATGAAGTCCCAGCCTATWCCAGAGTACCCTTGGCAGTTTATTAGTCGAGATATTTGTGCGTTTGAGTCGAGCACCTACCTCGCCACAACCGATCATTATTCAGACTTCATCGAGGTTGATGAACTGGAAGACATCTTATCTGCCACTATTGTGGCCAAAACTGAAGCACATTTTGCTCGACATGGTGTTCCAGAAACGATTTTAACTGATAATGGACCACAATTTATTGCATCCGATTTTGAGCAGCTCTGCCACAGATACCAGACAAACCATGTCACAAGCTCACCGTACTGGCCCAAGGGAAATGGAAAATTAGAGGCATCAGTAAAAATCGTCAAACGCATCTTGAAAAAGTCTGGGAAAACCGGCCTGCATGAGGCCCATCTCTTGAGCCCAGCAGAAAGGAGTACGGGACGCCGCACCCGCGGACTCCTTCCTATATCCACGGAGCTCTTACTACCCAGCGACCACACTACTGACATAGTCCAGGGAGCTATCGCGGCTAAGCGAGCTAGGGCTAAACAACACTGTGACAAGGTCGTGGTTGGATAAGCTACCTCCTAGTCCTGTGCCGGCAACAGAACCCCCACCGTGCCAGCCACCCACCCCACACTTTGCTCAACCTGTTCACCCACCACCCCCTTCATCCATAATGCAACCATCTGCCTCAAGTGCCATGCCAGTGCCGACTGCTGAAGTGGAAGCACCCGACCAGCCTATTCCAATACCATTAGTACCTAACAACGACAAACCAAGCTTATGCCATCGCCCAAGCCCCGTCGCCGAACAGAGCCAAACAAACAAACCTGTAACAAAAACTCGTTCGGGCCGTGTGTGCAAACCCCCTACCCGTTTGAACTTATGACTACCTCCCCGTTTAATCATCAATGACACTACATTGATCGATGATAGGCACACAAATTGCTGTTGGAGATTCATTTTATTATTGTTCAGTTTAATATTTTTTTCTTTCTTCTATTTATTTTTTTTCCACCCTTCGTTGTTTGATGGGCGTAGAGGCATCCTCCATTGGGGGCATTGTAATCCACCTTTGCTGTGGCGGGAGACTTTCCATTTTGCTGACCCGTCACTAAATGTTTTGTTCAGTTTGTAGTTTCTAAAAAAAAAAAGGAAGGGAGATGTTAAGGTGCGCAATGCACTCTCGGCTTCCCAACAAAGACACAATCATGTGTTCTCATCCAGTATGGCGTCCTGTGCTGCATTATAACTGAAGAAGGACGTGCTCCACTCCACCTTGCTTTCTCAATTGGCAGCAAACAAGAAGTACAACCGCTACACTAACCCTAGCGATTGGTATGCGTTTTACAGGAAAGTAGCGTCTCAAGTCGGGTGGGTTACGCAAAGTTTCAAACCGTTTCAAAGATACTTTTCCTTTCCAAATGAGTTTAAGCTAGATCTCTGATGTTGTGATCGACATCTTCAGCGAGGTCTTAAAAGTTAAAAAGGTCGAGAAGAGGGCTTTGAAAGACACAATTGGGAGTGTAGAGAAATCCAAAAGTACTTCCGCCCTTATCGAATCCAACAGCATTGAGAGCAACCGTGGTAACTTCCATATTTCGGCATGCACAGTTGACAAGAACGAGCAGGGTGGTGTTACCCTCACAAGTTGCTACTTTAAGTTCACAGAAAAAGAAGAGGACTATTTCTTCACGGAGAGAAAAGGCAGGAAATAGCATTGCAGATGTTTATAAGTCTTTGTTTTGAAGCACGCTCGCGAAGAATTAAGTGATTGAGACTTTACCTTTAATGGCTTAACATTTACGTTATTCTTGTTCCCCTTTGATAAAAAAAAATTGTTTATAATTAAGAAAGAACTGAATAGTTCGTTTCTTTCGTTGAAGACTGCTTATTTGTAATCAGGGTGTATACCTGAAAATTCCTCATTAGAAACTTTTGATTCCCTTTAATAAAGCAACTGTCAGCACGGTTTGTTATCGTAGGTATGTTAGTTTATTTGACACCAAACCGTCGAAGGATACAATTGAAAAAGGCGAGGTGTAATCATAATGTCTAAGCGTAGGCCATGTTTTTCTGGGAACACTTGTCTTTGGTTCACTATACATCTTTAATTGACTCCTTTATAGTTAAGCTTTGAAAGTTTTGTGCATGATACGTAGCAAAATTAGAAAAAACTTTTTGCTTTAGATACATCATTTTTGGAATTAATGTAATAGCGGCGAAGCTGCAATAACTTAGGAACCAATGATTATCCAACTTGAACCCACTAGTATGATATTTTTCCATGATAGACTAAGAAATGCACTTGAAAGATTGAGATGCATTAAAATGCCTGGTGAAATATTTTTAGACCCAGAACTCGTGATTTCCAATGTATTACTTGACCTGTACAAGATGTCTTCACAATGCTGGGATCAACGGTAAAGGACTTTGATTTTTCCAAGTGAACCAAACAACAACATAACACTTGTAATGCCCACCTATACATGGCTTTTATACCCATGCAATAACTTCAGCATCATATCATGAAGTGTATTGTGCACGTATCGCTTAGTCTCATAACGCTTATGTATCATGACGAGCTTTGCTCAAGAAAAAAATTCACAGCAGGCATCGTAAACTGATGCCGAGGTTTGGGGAAGAAGGCGTTGGGTGGATGTCATCACATCAATCACACCACGATGTAATTACATAGACTTAGCGCCCACGAATCCACGAGAGATAAGCGATTGCGTGCGAGTTAACGCGTGGTCATCTGATAGCGATGAAAATCAGAGTCATGAAATATAAAATTTGCTATGCGTGATGCCCAATAAAATACTACTTTCTTTGTGATTCTGCCTGTTTCCTTATTATTATGACATTGCTAATCACGTAGTCTTTCTACGACCCTTTCTTTTCACAGAAGAGGCAATACCTGTTTCAATTATTTATGTATGATTCTTTCGCTTGGTTTGCCATGAAAAAGCAACAAAAGATATCGTTATTTTCATGTGTCGATGTGACGAATCCGCGCCACAAAGGTGGGTGCCCCCTAACACAAACAAAACACAGAACATAAACGAGCCCGAGAACACACGCCACAATACAACTAAACGTAGGCCTAGAGATATTTATTATGCTAATTAAANTAGTCAGTTTGCACCTGATTTGTGGTCAGTTTAGCATCTGGTTTGGTGTGAACATCTTGCTACTCGGTGCAAACAACTTGCTACTCGGTGCTCAGCGATTCGGTTCATACAGCATTATATTCGGTGCATTTGCAACATGGTATTCGCTGAGCCAGTATATCTGGTCATCTAAACTACTCCAAAGCACATGCTCACATCGTATTCGTGAGACTGGTCCCCAGAGCCCACGGCTGCATCAAAGACACGTGTGGGCCTACCTGGTAACAATGAGCAGTGCTTGCAAGACGCAGTTTACCCTTTTATCATTGCATTTGTCATTTTTTTATATCAGTTAGACAAACCTATTTCTGACATGATAATGTAAATTAGCCACCGCAAAGATTTTTTAAAGCTTACGTTTCAAGCGTTAGCTCTTCGTCATTCGCTCTGACAAAGCGTTTACTCGAAACATCAGCTCTAGAAAGTCATTACGGTGGCCAACACATACCGACGCAGCACCACAGTTTCAAAAGAAACTTACCCCTTTTATTTCTGACATGTACAGGTTTTCTCGCATGTTACTGCCTTTTTGAGCTTCGATACCATGTCACCTCAGAAGTCAGAAAACCTGCTCGAAATGGTGAAGGAAGAATTTGGTGTATCATGGCAAGTCAAGGGTCTTAATGGATTTGTTCTCTCTAGAACGATTAATCAACTAAAAAATGCTCATACATATTTGCAAAAATATTTTCTTGAGCGTCCACATTTGCTGTTTAAGGAGGAAAGAATGGTGCAAGGAAAAGGTGCCATAAAAACTCTACAGAGTTCTGCAAAAAATTTCAAGCAAGTTAAGAAAGACCCTCTGGAAATTGTTGAAGAGCGCACCTTTAAAGTTGAACCAAAATTCATGAAATTATTCATAAGAGTACGCAAGGAAAAGCTTGAACAAATAGAAAGGGAGTACCACCTAGAGATAGTTTGGCCTGAAAATGAACCTCGAGTAGAGATCAAACCTACACCTCTAGCCGAAGAAACACACTATCAAGAAGGATGCGATGCTTTCATTGATTTGTACCAAACCATCCATCATACCATGAAGCGACAGGTATGACGAGCTTTGCTCAAGAAAAAAATTCACAGCAGGCATCGTAAACTGATGCCGAGGTTTGGGGAAGAAGGCGTTGGGTGGATGTCATCACATCAATCACACCACGATGTAATTTCATAGACTTAGCGCCCACGAATCCACGAGAGATAAGCGATTGCGTGCGAGTTAACGCGTGGTCATCTGATAGCGATGAAAATCAGAGTCATGAAATATAAAATTTGCTATGCGTGATGCCCAATAAAATACTACTTTCTTTGTGATTCTGCCTGTTTCCTTATTATTATGACATTGCTAATCACGTAGTCTTTCTACGACCCTTTCTTTTCACAGAAGAGGCAATACCTGTTTCAATTATTTATGTATGATTCTTTCGCTTGGTTTGCCATGAAAAAGCAACAAAAGATATCGTTATTTTCATGTGTCGATGCTG